AATGGTTCTGTTTGGCATGGAATGAGGGGAATTCGCAACTATCGCTTATTGGTTAAAACAATGTGGTTAAACAGCCTAGCTCAATATTATGCATAAATGTAATATGAAGATTAATTTAAAATACACTGAAAGAGAAAGGGGGGGTTGAGAAATGAATTTAATCCTACAGTTCTCTCTTAAAACATGAATACATATATATCTCAAGAAACAATCTTGAACTTTCTTTGAAATGCTGACAGAATATTCTGGAAAGTATAATGGGGTGGGGGGAGTCTCTGAAGTCTGTAGTAAAAAAGCTTCAGGGACAAACAATACCAACCCACTGCAAGCTGGGTGTTGATAAAAAGCAAGGAACATGTTTTTTTGTGATACGACTAAAACAGCACAGCAGTGGGAAAACTGCTCCAGGAAGTCCTAAAACAATATAAATCACAGTCAGACGTTCCATACTCTTCTGGATACAGGAACTCCTAAAATATCAGGCCAATGTGACTACTTACCAAATACCAAGTTGATAATCGAATAGAGCTTTCTAAAAGTCAATTGCATTATAAGCCACTATTAATTTATGCTTTTAAATAAGGTTCCAAGAGCACTACCATATTTGACCCCAAATCCACATTGAGTAAAAGCTTTTAGTGAAACTTGAAACACAGTTCATCATGATGTTCAGAGGTTTTCTCTCAAGATGCCCCCAAATATGTACGTATGCATATATTAGACTTCATGTATAAACAACTCATGAGGTAAAGTGGTTGTAGACATGGAGTCATGTGAATTCATGGAATCTTAGTTCCAATACACCTGGAGGATTTGCTGAAGGCTGAGAAGGTTGAAGTTTTATGACAGAATAAACAAGTATAACTGTATATGCAACTATATCTAACGACAGTCCATATATTCAGGTGAAACAGCTGTAACCAATTAGGAAAAAGACCTGCTAAGATAGATATGATACTAATAGTGAGTTCTCTGATGCCTCTTAATATTTGCCTGCCTGCTTCAACCCCTCCTTCCTCCTGTTGCACTTTTTCATTCCTCCTGAACACTGTACGCCTGCATGTACGTGTTTCATATCATATACTGGTGCAGATCCCTTTTCTTTTTTCTTTTTAACTCTAAATTCTGGAATTGCAAAAAATCACAAGAACTGGATGATAGATAACTGGAGTTTTTTGACAAAAGATATTTGTGAGGCACCCGTAGAGACTTTTATCGAATCTAAAATGTAAAAAATATTGGAGCAATCACTTAGTTCTATAATATGCATATTATAGAACTAAGTGCACTTCCTGCTGAATCCTCTGGATTCGTAAGTCATAAACCATGGAAAAGGATTAGTTTGCTCTTCTTTGACAACCTAGATTCAGTCTATAATGTTACTGTGTTGTTTAGACATTGAAGGAATATAGATATACTTATTATTGCTGAGATACTGCAAAAAAGTAAAGCAATAAAATGGCCTGCCTCAAACGAAATGCAAAGTGATACCTTTGGATTCATAGAGTTTCGACACTTAACAGATTCTAGACCAAGACTCTTCAAGAAATAATTTAGATTATGAATATTCAGTATAAATCTAAGACTGCTATCTTTCTCGGGATTGGTAAAATATATTTCCATTTCTAGAGAACATTTTCAATTGACACTTTTTATCGAGAAGGGAGGGAGAGGGAGAGGGAGAGACCTTCTGGCATAATTCTTAAAGTAATCTAAACTAATATGGTAGTCCAATGCAGAGCTAGCTCAAAATTCAATAAAGAAAGAATACAATTTAAGATCTCAGAGGGCATTAGTTATGGATGCCCACACACCTTGAATGCAGCTTGGTCAACAGCAATAGCACTTAGGCTTATATACTGCTTCACAGTACTTTACAGTCCTAAGTGGTTTGCAGAGCCAACCACTTAGAGCAGAGGTGTCAAACTGGCGGCCTGCAGGCTGGATGCGTCATGTGCAGGCCACGCTCACTCTGGCTCCGCAAAGGCAAAAAACATTGTGATATGTCACCATATGTCATGTGATGTGATCAAGTTTGACACCCGTGACTTAGAGTATATATGTTGGAAAACCTAGTTGCCAATGAACAAGGAAAAAGAGGGACCAATGTTAGTTGCAAGAAGGGACAAAGTAGGGTTTGCTATTTGCTCTGAACCATGTCCAGGGAGTCATCAATCTTAATACTAAATAAGTCACTTTCCCAAATAAAAACCCTACATTCTACTCTTCATTTCCAGTGTCAGTCAGGAGTGAAGCCAAGGTGCGACAAAGAGCAATGGAGAACATTATTATCCAGGCTACTGATTCAGTATCATGACAAACTGTTTTTGCTTAGCTTTTATCTAGAAAAAAATGAATTATCTTCTGCTTGTTGTCTGGCAAGTGAGATATGAAACAGGGGTGCTTCAGTGGTGGGATTCTACCGGTTCGGACCTGCACAGTTTGGAGAACCAGCAAATCGTGACCCTGGATGGCCCTGCCCCTCTCTGCCTGCCACTTCCCTCCCATTCAGCCCTTATCGCGCATGCACATCCCGCACATCCACGACATTGCTGACTGCATTCTCCCCCGCCCAGTCACTCCTTAAGGTATTTATTTTTTCCGCCCTCCCGACAATCAGCTGTTCGAATGATCAGCTGTGCCGGAATTCCCCTTGCTGTCTTACTGCTTTGCCCAGGAGGCTTCCCTGAGGCCCAGGAGGCAAAAGGGGGCACAGGGGTGGGCGGATGCTATGCGCCCCCCCCCGCGCTCCATTTTTTGCCTTCCTGGGCCCCACAGAAGCCTTCTGGGAGCAAAATCGCTCCCCCAGGAGGCTTCCCTGAGGCCCAGAAGGCAAAAAAATGGGGGGGGGGGTTTGCTGCTAAAAAAGAAGCCACGCCCACACAGTCACATGGCCACATCCACCTAGCCATACCCATCTAGCCATGCCCACAGAACAGGTTGTTAAAAAATTTGAATCCCGCCCCTGGAGTGCTGAATAAAAATGAATGTATTTCATTAAACTTCTCTTATATTGGGATATATATGGAAAATAATCCAAGAATACAGCTTGATAGTTCAACTTTTCTGCTTATCCATGGCCACAGAATGTTGTTGGCCACATGAACTGGTCAGAGATGCCTTCACTCTGACAGAATTAGCAGATGGAATGATGGAATGAGAACTGGCATCTCTTTTCTTTCAATTTATAAATATTCTCAACATGTTAAGAGGTGAATGCATAGTAGCCAAGGAGTGTCTTGCTGTTTTTACTAAAACTAACAGCATGGGAATGAGGATTAGAGGTGCATAATATATTTCATCAACTGGTAGACGAAGTCCACAATTAGATATGGCTGTCAAATATACAAGCCAAGAGATTTGCCATACTATCAATTGTTCACAGTAGAAAATGAAACCTTCTGGAGAGCAAGGTATTTGGTGCTCAACAGACATTGATGTAGAAAAAGAGCTGAATAAATTGATGCATAATCACTGCTTTCTGAACACTGGACTAAACCTACGAAGTAATAATCGGATGGATCACTTGGTCTAATGACAGTATCCATTTCCAAGGATAAGGGACCCTAAAGATATGGACCTCAGTGACTGAAGGGAAGATCATGATTTAGTTGAGGGAGAGAAGCTATGTGGGGGCAGAACATGGAAGTGACATATGCTCAAAGGCACATTGACAAGAACAGCAGAATCTGGAGGACAGAAAAGCAAGGCTATCAGAAAGTACAGAAAGCAAGCCAAAACCTTAGTTAGATGGAAGAAAATAATGCCGGTCAAAGGAGAAAAGATCTTGGGGAATTCATTAATCGCTACACTGAAAATACCCTGTATTAAGCTGGAAGAACAGCAAGACTGCATAAAACCAGAGGCTCATAACAGAAAAATGGCATGCTGGAAGAGAATGCTTCTAGGAAAGGAAGAACTTACAAGCTAAAAGAAAATGAACGAAAAATGTATTAAAAAATAATTAATGCAGGATCCAATCCGGGTTAGTCATGGGGACCATAGGTTTTGTTGTATGAGCTTTCTGACTCAATAAACAATAAAGAGGAAGCAACAGAAGGAAAATAGTATACCAAAAAGGAAAAGTAATGGAAAAAATGAGATAAGGAGAAGATGAATCAAGTATTTAAAATAGTAAAATTCTGCATAAAAATGGACTAACCCTATGGACAAAAAACAAAAAGGAGTATACATTTAACAAAATTACCGCCTGAAAGAGAGATCATAGAGGATAGCTGAGAAAAGGAGTAAGATCACAAAGAGAAATTTAAAAGGGGAAGGGAAATTGCTGAATTGCAAGATCTTTGCAATCCCTGGCATCTGCAGGTAGAATGGGCAAAGCTCCTGGCTAAATGGCTGCCATTTAATGTAGGCAATACTAGGCAAGATGTACTTGATTTTACTATGTATTAAACTGGTCCGACTAAAAAAAAGCATCAGGAAGTGCAACTGAAAGTGCTGGAGACACAACTGTAGACCTCCCTTGGCCATTCTTTCTTAGTCCAACCTACCTCACAAGGTTATTTGTTTGTTTGATTGATTGTTTTGGGAAAATAAGAAGGGTATCCCAATATGCAGGCTATCCCAACATAAATAAATTTATATTTAACTATTTATATTTAAAATACTTATTTTAAATGGTTTGGATGTAAACCAAAGAAATAAATCACCATACAGCATGAAAAAAAAGAAAACTGGTGAACCTAAGAATTCAGTAGCTATAAAGCAGTTATAAGCATACACTGTATGATCCCTATGAAATTTAGAGCACAATTGTTAAGTAAAATGGGGAAATTATGCTTCTGTAGCAGGGACCTGCTTCAAACCTCCTCCTCTCCTCCCCAATATATGTAAGCTTGTAGGCAAAGCTAGTACAGATGAAACAGAAGTTATGGGCTGATCACAAAGTTCAATATTCTCTGTAATTTGGCAGGAATTGCAAAGGGTGAAAGCACTAATAAATAACTTGCCCAGTACTTGCAATAAGAAATCAGACAAACCTTGCACTTAAACAACTGAGGTTGGATCCCAGGAAACATGTCTCCCATCATGCATTCCATTTAGTACTGCAACATCATCAAAGTCTAGTGAAAAATCAAAGACCTAAGGAGAATGCATAGAGATTAAGGGACGGTATACATAGGCAACACTAAGCATGTCTGCTACTTAAAGCTAACCAGCATGCCTAATTGTTGTTTTGATGCAAGCCTTTCACTCTAAAGCAGAGGTCTCATTCCTGCAGGCCAATTGCGGCCCGCAGGACGATATCCTGTGGCCCCCACCATGATATGAAAGTATAACATTTGAGGATATTTTTTTAACAACGTTTTTTTGTGGAATCCCTTATGCGGCCCAGCCTCACTCAGACTCTGCCTCCAGCGGCCCCCAGGTAAATTGAGTTTGAGACCCCTGCTCTAAAGCCAACGAGTTAGAAAAGCATTCCTCAATTTGTTCAATCAATCCCTCTAAAATGTGACTGCAACTCCAATCAAACCCAGGAAGCAGCATGGATAAGTTTGCCAGCAGTACTACTCCAACAAAGATACAAGACACCAAGTTAGGGAAGGGTGGGTTTAGAGTGACCAGTCTTTATTTAATTGGGAAAAAATTATTTTAATTATATAACGTGACAGGTTTGGTTCCTTGATTACTAAGCTGGTTTGTTTATGCTGGCACAGGAGAATATGTTTGCGACTAATCTTTCTTTAAACACACAAACTGATTTTAGCTTAATTTGTGAGGAAGAAGACTAATGTCCCAACAGTTTTCCACAAGTACCCATAAGTTCTTAAGTTCAAAACCCTAACTCCATGATCTATGTTGCTGGATATCTTCCGCCCTCCTGTCCTGCAGTTTTCTGAAAATCTTCATTCATCATGTCAAAAGAATGTGGACAAAAACAAAGAATGAAGTTGAGAACAAAAGAAAAATGAAAACAGTAACTATTCCTTTGAGGCCTCTTTCCTAAGAAAATTGGTGAGTTAACTGAGAGAGATTGCTGATAATGAATGACAAGAGATTCTGGGCCACAGGAGTTTCCCTGGCTGGGAATTTTTGTTTTGTTTCGTATTAAAGAAAACTTTCTCTTTTCTCTTGGCCGGACCAAATGGTTATTATCCCTTCCCATAACACAGATTCTGAGCTGCATATGCTGTAGCTCCTGGAACACAGCAGTTGGCACGTAGCTCTACGGGTTCTTATTCCTTGGAGGATAGACCAAGATGTAGAATTTACCAAGTGTAAGGTCAGACATGGAAGAGGGAAATGTAGAAAATGAGTAGATGCCACAGAATGAAAGGCCATTTCCTTGTCTGCCTCTCCCCCCACCCCACCCTTCCTTCCCTGCTCCCTAAGGAGCTAGGGAGTTCCTGTAAGTTGTAGGCATAGATGAAGGCCAAGCCAGCAACAAGTCAGATACAGTTTCTGCATTACACATATATGCATTCTTGAAAACTCCCTCTAATCCTTTTATGGTCTTAGCAACAATGCATCATTCTTGTTCAGGACCACCTCTGGGTCAATTTAGCATAATTCAACAATACAAGGACCCTGAGCCTAAGCTGATTCAGTTGGAAAAGAATCAACTAGAGTGGTTTTGATTTTTAACTGGCAAAGGACAGTTTTAACAAAAACATAGCTTCCCCACCTCTTTGTGCCAGAGCTGATTTGGGAGCTCACTGAAGGGGATGGTCATCCCCTTATCTTCCAACAATGAATTTCAGAAGTAATTGATAACCAGAGGGGATTAGAAGGTATGGAAAGAAGCTACTGTATTATTATCTAGTTTTGGTGGGCTAAAATGGCAATCTTGAAGTAGGTAGGAGGTGTAGTGATGTCACTAGTGATGCAGTGTGAAGCTGGGAGTTGTGTGCTATAGGACAGGGGTCCCCAACCACCGGGCCGCGGACCGGTATCGGTCCGTGGATCACTTTGCACCGGGCCGCAAAGAAAATAAAAAATAAAATAAAAATGGCGGCTTTCTTCGCCTTCGGTGAATGCTGCTGGGATCAGGGATCAAGGACACAAATGAAAGAAGGGGAGGGAGGAAGCAACCAAAGCCTGTCCTGCTCTCTGGCTCAGCGGCTTCGGTTTCCTCCCGCCTCGTTCCTCTCTCAGTCACTCTCTCGCTCCTCCACCAGCCCAGGAAGAAACTGCTTCAAAGGAGCCTGCAGGGTGGCTTTTCCTGTCGGCGCAGCTCCCCCGAAGCGCCTGTTCACCCCCACCCCGCCGCCAATCAATCCAGGTTCAATCCAGTGCTCCGTTCTGCCTGCCTGCCTGCCTTTGTTTGTTTCGGAGCAGCTTCGGCTGAGAATAATAACTATTCGCCTCTTTTACTAAGCTGAAGCTGCTCCAAAACAAACGAAGGCAGGCAGGCAGGCAGGCAGAACGGAGCACTGGATTGAACGGCGGGGCGGGGCGGGGGTGAACGGGCGCTTCGGAGGAGCTGCGCTCCGAAACCACCAGAAACGAAGGCAGGCAGGCAGAACGGAGCACTGGATTGAACCGTGGACGGCAGGGTGGGGGTGAACAGGCGCTTCGGAAGAGCTGCGCCAACAGGAAAAGCCACCCTGCAGGCTTCTTTGAAGCAATTTCTTCCTGGGCTGGTGGAGGAGCGAGAGAGCGACTGAGAGAGGAACGAGGCAGACACCTGAGGGATGGGGCTGATGAAGGCAGGGCCGAGAGGGGCTTCTCGGCCATCCTGCAGGGACTATCTGTCGCTCAGGGTTGCAATGAGGAGGCATTGGCACTCCCTGAACTTGGTGATTTGCTGGCAGATGTTTTATTACCCGACTAGGTAACTTACCTAGTCAGATAATGAAACGTCTGCAAGCAAACCACCAAACTCGGACTCCCCCCCCCCCCGGTCCTTGAAAAAGTGTTTCTGCGTGAAACTGGTCCCTGGCACAAAAAAGGTTGGGGACCACTGCTATAGGAAACTGCAGCAATGCTGGGCTGAGAATGAAACTGAAAATGGAGGATTTTTATCTGCCTTCACTTGTTGAGGGACCTGAAATAATTCAGGAGTACATGGCTGTTATGGCAACCAAGGACCTGTCCATATTCCTCAAGATTCCTTTCATCAGTTAGCAGGGCAACTCTTCAATATAATACCTTCTTTTTTTTTTTTACTGATCAGTTGTCTGAGTATATCAAAAAAGCTATAAAAACAATACAGAAACAATGAAACAATTTCATAATAGTCATCCCTGCACTCCCTGCTTGCTTTCCTTTTTTAAAAACTGCTATGACAGAAAAGTTCATCATATATCAAATGCAACTTGGGCATTTATATAAAAAGAGTTATGATATTTGCAGTTCTATTGTCATACTCCTTTGTCTCCAAAATGAACTTACTTAAAAACACTTCCTTTGTATGCTGGAAGATCTTAAAATCTCTGCACTGTTTTCAGTAACCCACTCTTCATTATTCACTCCAACTCCAGGTATAACTAATTCAACTTTAATTGATTCCAGTATTAATTCTCTAGGAAACTCATATCTTATTTAATGGTTAAAAACTCCTCATATATTCCTAACCATTCCTCATATTCCTATGAGCCACAGTGGCACAGTGGTTAGAGTGCAGTACTGCAGGCTACTTCTGCTGACTGCCGGCTGACTGCAATTTGGCAGATTGAATCTCACCAGGCTCAAGGTTGACTCAGCCTTCCATCCTTCTGAGGTGTAAAGCACTGTGAAGCAGTATACAAGGCTAAGTGCTATTGCCATTGCCATTGCTAACACTACTGAATCATCAGAAAACCTTCATGATTCAAGAGGCACAGTTGAAGTTTCTTCCACTTTCTATATTTTAATTAGATCAAGGATTCATTGATCTATGTTTACATTTTTTTTAATGTACGTAAATATGCTTTCTAATCCTTATTAGTTTGAAAATGTCTATCAGTTTTGGAACCATGTCATGATTCTTTGCATTTTCATGGAAACAGAAATTGATCCCCAAGTGTACAATGAGTCAGACTATCCAAATTGGGATTAGAATCTTACATTTTTCAAAATGCCTTTTCTGAAAGAATGGGTTTGGGGTACACCTTTTCCACAGTACAGGTAGAATTCAACTTACAACCCCAGTTAGGACTGGAATCTCAGGCATTCCGGGAAACAGTTTTTATGTGAGACCTCACTTGAGCACTTTGCTCAACAACCACAATCCTGACACTCTAGGTTCTGGTTACATGATCTTGCAGATCATTAAGCAAACTAAGTCCACATAAGGAGAATGGGTGCCTCGCAGGGTGGGGGAATCACTGGAAGGCTCTGCTCAAGAGCTGAAAATCCTCCCTGCTGAAATCCAAGCAGGATTTTCAGCCCTTCAGCCAAAAGACACTCACATGTGGCCTGTGCCTGCGCCATGCTTCTTACCTTACCACACTGCCTCTCCACTCTTTCCTTGGATTTTGGGTCCTTCTCATCTCAGTGGACTGGTTGAAAGAGCTGCCTGCCAAAGGATTTCAGCTCCCCTCTATGCATGGAAGGGAATTTTTTGTGGGGTGCAGGAAGGAAGCTCAGGATTTGAGCTCCCATTTCTGCACCCTGACTTCCTGCCAAAGGAAGTCAGTTCCCCTCCAGGCTTAGAATTCAGTTACTGTCCTACTTTTAAATTTTGTGACATATTCGTACACTATCACAACATTTTCTCCCTTTGAATTACAATCCCTCAGCATCACTGACTATGTGGAGAATGACGACAATCGCACTGAGGTGCACAACTGGGGAAAGGCTGTAATAAAACAAATTCTTCCACAAAGGAGTTTCTTGATTTTGTGGTACCTAAAGAAACACACATTAATTTAGTCCAGTAGTCTTCCAGCAATATTGCAAATTGGCATGCATTTGCCAATGTTGATGCCTCTGCTTATTTTCAACATTTATCCAGTGATAATCCAGATTATTTTTTATCTTGTTGTTACCTTTTCTATTAAATATATACCTTGTCAAAATTACACAGGATTGTTGGTGGCTTTACTGACCATGTAAACATCCATGGCACAATAAAAACCTAGAAACTATTTTTAAAATCCAAAAATTAAATGCCCTCCAAAAGAATTATATTTTCACCAGCTTTTGGAAGATGCCAACTTCAGAGTTAGCCTGAGTACTAACAGGAGGCTTAGTCCAAAAAACAAGTGCAGCTTCTCCACATTTTAGCTCCTTAAAATGCTCCTTAAAATGGGGTGTCACCATATGCTTCTCCCAGCAAACTCAAATTGTTCAGTTTCATTTTTGAAGGAATTGTTCTTGCTATTGCTATTCTTCCAATATGTGGATTTTTTCTAGGAAATGGTCATGAAATATCTCATAATATTAAGCATTTCTAAATGATATATTTTTTGTGTTATAATATTTATAGCCTACTGGATGTTGCTCATTACCTCATGTGTCCTTTGTTCAATCATTTCCCTACCTGTAGTGTCCTTATTTGCTTTCTCTAGAACTCCATTATTTTGGCTTTAAATAATCTTGAATAATCTTGATCCTTCTGATTTTTCCTTTAACTTGTTTTTAACACCCCTTCATTTGGGAAGAATGTTCCCTCCTTTAGAAGTTCAATGAAGCTTTTAGACTTTCTGGGCAGCTATCCACTTACACAATTATTGAATGTAATAGGACTGTAGCCAGTGTTCCTGTGTAGCTGAACAAAGATTGGTCAGTTTTGTGACTATTCAAAAGTGAAGTCATTTATTACACATAGAAATGCTGTTCATGTGTGGGGAAATCTGCTTAAGCTATGGAACTATGTATTACCCCTCATATTTGCCCGTTTCCTCTCAAAATATGATCTGCAGAGTTATTTTCTGGAGAATTCCTGGGACATGTTTTATGGGTACATGAAAGTACAGAATAGAAAGCAGAATTGCCTTTTAGAAGCTGCTTCTTTTAGAACCAACAACATATATTTCTCCAGATAATGTGTAGATGCTAAAGTTACTGATGTTTATCTCATTTTTGACTGTTTTCCACATTTCTTGCTCCATCTCAGAATTATGGAGTTTGGGTGGGTGGAGATGGCTGTTTTAGGTTTTGGAATTAGATAATAATCTAAATTTGTAACTGCAGAGAACTTCGTCAAATATACTTTTTGATGCAATCTTGCCAACATCACTTCATTAAAAAAAACACTCTGGATATTTGATCCTCCCTGTCTTTTAATTTTTTTAACTATTTGGTCAAACTAAGCATTTTTTCTGACCTGACTATTCATTGATGTATTGACTCCCTAGCTAATCTAATGTCCGAAAGACTTTTTGAAAATGCTACCTTAACTATTCTAAATATTAGCTTTTTGTCTAGCTAACTATTTGACTTCCAAGATCTCTAATCCAAATTCTGCTGGAAATCATAGTCACGTATTTTTCATCAATTATACCTGTGGTGTCCACAAATGAAGAAACTGCCCTCCCCAGAAACTTCTAATTATCACTTCATGGATAGATCTTTATCCCAGTCCTTTCAGTTGATACTAATCTATCCATTCTTCTCATAGATAGACTGTCATGGCTCCATCAGAGCCCAGGTCCGAGGAGGAGATGGAGGTGAAAGGGGTGGGCACAGCCCCTATGGCCCATGAGGAACGATCTGGGGATGAGGTTTTAGCACTCCTGGTCTGTAGGACCTCGGAAGAGTAGGCACAGAGGAAGAGAGGGTGCAGGCAAACCAAGGAATGGGGGAGAAGATGGAAAGGGCAGGCACTGGAGCAGAGAAGCAGCAGAGCTCTGGAGATGAGCAAATGCTTCCTCCACCCAATCCCTGAGTGTGGTGAATGGAGAAGAGGAAGAGTCAGCGCAGGGCAACTCGATGAGGATCACCTGGAGAGTAGCATTTAAGGAGACACTGTGTGGAGGGGCTTTTGTCAGGGACAAATGTTGTATGTCAGGGCAATACTCTCCACAGCTCCTAGAAGAAATTTGCTCCAGAATCCTTGCTATTGTTGATTGCAGTTTGATTCTTTGCCTTGACGTCGATGGACTTCCACTGCTGGGAAGTTGCACAAAGCATGTGCATGCGCATGGGTTCGAGCCTTGCTCTTGGACTGTAGGTGTGCCCTGTGAGCAAATACTTTGGGGAACGGACCAGGAATTGCTAGATTGTGGGGATTTGGGGGGAATGGTGGCTGAATAAAGGCTGACAAGCTTTCGCTTAGCATGTATTGCTTGAGCACTAACTCTGGGTCATAACATAGACTTTGGTAAGAGATTATTTTTGGGTTAATATTTTAAGGTGCTTTTTTAAAATAGTGAAATATGAACAACTCCACAAATGAACACAGTAGTGATTATAAAATTTAAAATACTGTATATTACATATATTGCAGTTATAATAATAACCTAAAAGTAACCCAAAAGGATAAAAGAATTTTAAAAATCCATATAATTGCCATTTAGTATCGACATGGGATTAATTCAGCCCTTAAGCTTGTCATTAATGCTAGATGATGTAAAATATATTGCTTCATCTAGAGTTCTCAAAAACAGAACACAGAGTATATCCTGAATCTATTCCCTAATATTGGGAGGACATTATTTTTCATTGATGTATAAAGCTTTTTCTTTGTGAAGAATCAAACTTTGCCAAGAGCCAGAGCATTTAATAAAATACAAATTTTATGTATTAGAAACATATCACATTTCTTTCTTTAATTATTACATTTCTTTCCAAAGTTATATTAATGTATCCTATGCTCTGAAACTAAAATGAAATTATAGCTAGACAAGACCAACTCATGTTAATGTTGATTAAACTTACTTGCAAGCATTTATTTTCTTCTGCAGTTTGTTCTCTCAGCAATTCAAGTTAAATGTTCCTGTTCCCCCAGAAAGAACTAAATCTTTTTGCACTTTTTATTTAAAAGCTTCTCACTAGCAGTTTTAAATCTCTTTTATTTGGGGTTTAATTGTTCAGGAGTATTTAAAAAGGTCACTTAATCTCTTTAAGGTTCAAATCTTAACACTGCATACTCAATTCTCTTTGCAGAGGTGCCTAACTCACATAGTTTTAATCCACTTATTTAAGGCTTTGCTATTATGCTGTCACTTTTCATAGTTTAGGCCAAGCAGCTATTTATTCTAATTAAATGATTTCTTACTATATATGCCAAACCTTTTAAGATCTTTCACATCTTCTCTCAAGGTAATTTAATTTGGATTAATTTGGCTAAATTTAGGTTTACAGAAATATTCAAAAATGTGTAAGCAAAAAAGGAAAAAATAATCCTACATATTAAGTATTTGGTGCTAAATACACTTGGCAGAAGGGGATCTGGTCTTACCTGACAGTTTTCTTGTACTCTCTTTAGTTTTGTAGATTTTGGAATGGTGACTATGCCATTCTAGAAGAAAAAATAAAATCATTATTGATGGAAGCAATGATGTTTTGTAAAAAAGAAAAGAGAAATAATTTAGGAGTTACATTAGTGCAATTTGTCAATAAATCATATCCTTATGATGGGTTACGTGCATGTTTAGCCACAAAATATGTATTTCTTTGACAGGTTACATTTTTATATACAGGCGCATATTTTATAGAAAATGTTCTGTCATTTGAGTTCCCATCTACAATTTCAACAAATAGAGCTAAATACTTAAACTTATTACCTCATCACTCTTACAGATAGATACAGATACAATACAGATAATCAGAGTTGGAAGGGGCTTGTAGGTCATCTAGTCCAACCCCCCACCCAAGCGGGAGACCCTACACCATTTCTGACAAATGTCAGTCAAATCTCTTCTTGAAAGTCTCTTTGAAGTTATAAGTATTTATACACAAAGAGAAAGACACAGAAAGACACTTTGGTGTGTGTGAGGTACCAAAATTAAGGCTGTAAAAATATTTAGATGGATATATACTTCAAGAAATACTAGTGCTTTGACTGTTCAGGTATCTATTGTAAGGCATACAGTGCCTTGTGGATTTGTCTTTGACTGTGGTAGATCATATCTAGCTAAGACAATGTTACCACCAGAGGTGGCATTCAGCAGGTTCTGACCAGTTCTGGAGAAATTTTGAGTAGTTCGGAGAACCGGCAAATACCATCTCTGACTGGAGATTTCACAGTATCCTTCCCCACCACGCCCACAGAACCACGCCCACAGAACTGGTAGCCACGCCCACAGAACTGGTAGTAAAAAAATTTGAATCCCACCACTGATTACCGCCCTGTTTACTTGCAATTATTTCAACTTTGTGTGTGAAAAAGTAAGAATGAGAGAGTGAGCATGAGTGAGTGCGAATGTGTTCAAAACTATACTACACCCTGTAATATGCCAAAAATGTCATGGTTGATTAATAATTCTTCCTCAGTTTTTTTAAGTCCTATCTCCACCTGAGACATTTTATGACTTCTTGATTATTTAAATACATGGAAAGGAAGCCCCAATGAAGTTTCACCAATCTCAGTTACTTTCTCCTAAAACTAATTCATGTAACAGATTAATTTCTAGATGTTATTGCATAACTATTTACAACATATAAATACCATATTTTCCTGAAAATGTATACACTACTACATATGCATCTTTCAGTCAGAACATATTACAACCATCTCTGTTCTGATTCCCGACAGCCTCAAAAGTAACAGATTTAAAATAAGGCCACATCCCAGACTACAATAATTAGTCAGTGAAATGCAGAACATACAATGTACAACGAAACTGAGACCACATTATTTTTGAACAGTTTTGGATACTGCTCTACTTTCAGTTACTGCTTAAACAGAAATCAGCTATTCATGGACATCGAAAACTAAGAGACAAGCATGCACTTTTCCTATTATTGCGTGGGAAGTTTTATGTAGCTAGACAGGAAATGTGGGTTTTTTTACATTTTACAAATTGTTGTTTAATGGAGCTGAAAGTTCAGGACTTACCTGGATGCTCCAACGAATACAGATTTGTGCAGGAGTTCTGCCATATTTCTTTCCAAGCTGAACAATGTTGGGATGATTAAGAGCTTCACCTTTGGCTAGTGGACAGTAGCCTTCAAAAATAATATTCCTGCTTTGGCAATAGTCTACTAGCTCTTGAGGCCTTTGGAAAGGATGATATTCTACCTTTTTTTAAAAAGAAGAAGAAAATTTACTTCAAAGTTCTTGTCAGTTTATAACCTATTACAATATAAAGGTCAAGCTACCGAATGTTGCTACACTTTTGGCATAACGTTATCATGACAATAACATTTTATTAACTTTTTTTCCTTCCAAAAGCCAAGAAAAATTCCCTTGTGAGGAAACATGAAATTCTAGGGGAAACTGGGAATTAGCATCCTCGGAATGTATAAACGAAACTGTTAGTTCATAAACTTTGTACAGTAATCTACGTCACTGCTTCCTGGATTGAATCAGAATTCTAGACAACAGTCATAGGACATAACTAAATTATATTGCCTCCTCTTCCAGGATAGGATACATGTTTTTATCTTCAGACTGGAGCCTAAGTCTTGTTTCCAGAAAAGACAATATGGTGATAATGGAAAGAAATCATAAAATATTCTGTCCAATTTTCTGCAAGTGTCCCATTTTTTTAGACCTACACGGAACATGCAAAATAGTCCAACATGCACTCAACCCAAGGATGCTCACTAATGTTTTCATTATAATCCTCCATTAAATTATTTTATTCATTATTCAGCCAAGGATTACAGGTGGAACAATGAATCCCAAGAGGCTAGTATAATAGAATAAGACGAATCCAGCTTAAGTAATAGCCAGTTTAGGAAAACAAAAGCATTTTTGGAATCTTCATTCTGTATGGCTGAGATAGCCCTTAAATACTAAGATTGCAAAAAATGTTACAGCTAATAATTGGAATTTCTATTTATCCTCCCACCCCCCTTTTTAAAAATTCTTTCTAGCCAGTGGAATAGTTGAAAATAATATAGTGGTCAGGTCTCTATCAAACAGCATAGTACCTCTCCAAAAACTTCAATTAAATTTGGTGCGGATAGTGAAGCCAGCAAACGAAAGATAGCTTGAAAATGAGTCAGATCTGTTTGATAGTTATGGAGGACAAATATTTTTGGTATATATACACATGGAATGCTGTTGGTAGCTACCTCTTTTTAAGCCCCAGTCCCAGTCACATAACAGAATAGACAATACACAGCTCATTCTGTACCTGCCAGGGGTAAGTATGTAGTCTCGCAGATAAAACATAAGAGAATGCATGACACTTATAAATGCACATATTTCTTTTTTATCAGAAGAAAATGCAGACACCTTCAATGGCCTCTGCTGGGAAAGAGATTGGAAACAATGCCAGAAGCCATTTTTCCTAGGTTTTGTTTGATTTCTCACTTTTCATTGCAATATACATACCTCAGTTATTCAAGATCTTCAAATTTCACTAGGATTCAGTTCCTGGCTAGCTTCTTAATTGCACTTACATATTTAATAAATGAGACGTCTTGGCATGGTTTTTATTAGGACAAAGTAAAAATAAAATGCTCGTATTTTGCAAAGATATACCAGATGTTTGATGGGATGGAAATGAAAATAAAAATATTTTATTTAAAAATAGTTGACATTTCAAAGATAGCCAAATTCTGGGAGATTCTAAAATCTCATATGGAGGATATTCTCAGTTGTTATGAAACCTGAACCTTCTTTTTTAAATATTATTTTTTATTGAACTTGGTGACATACAATTGCCAACATCTAGCTATGTGACACTCCACAAAAGTTTATGGCTATCAAGTAGTGGTCCACATAACAAAAAAGTTGGAAAACATTGATTTAAAATATATGTCTATGATGAAAGGTGAATATGGCTTGTAAGCACTTTTCCTTTTTAGCACAGTTTAATCTTATATAGATTGTAGTCAAGTAATAAGAGAAATAGGATACATTTTGTGGGCAATATTGGAATGGAGAAATGTTTAAGAAATATCATATAATAGGTCAAGGAAAAGTTAGTGTTTTTTAATAATGAATTTAATATACAGCTTGACTTTTTTGTCAAAAAAGGTCAATACTATAGTATAGTATAGTCAATACTATATTGGTGTTTTTCCATATAATTTCATAGTAGTTTAAGGGCTCTAAGAAAAGCTTCTTGTTTCTTAAAATCATATTCAACCTGGAAAGTGATCCAAGGAAAATATAACCTCAGTTGATAGCAGACCAAAGAAATTGACAAGATACATACATATGAATAAATACATGATGAATATGAATTTACTGATAAAGTGCCCAAAGGAATAATTGTGGTAAAATCTGCAAACATGTGAATTATCCTGGTGTTACCTCTTCCCTGTAATTTTAACACAGAAGATTGAAAAAAACAATCCCTGCACAGAAAAAGCTATTTCCCCAATACATACAAAAGATAATAGAAATTCTGCGACAGAGTCAGTTCATAGAGAGCAATCCCAAACTGCCATCAAAAAATACTAAATATCTATGTGTTTTTATGATGAAGTAGCAGCAGCAGCAGCAAGAGTATTACAGTTCGGCACAATCACCATGAGGAATATGGAAATTTTCATCCACCCTGAGTAGGATGAAAGACCGTTTCCTGTTTCTCATCTTTAGGACATGTTGTCTATTCAGGCAACAATAGCCAGAAACAATAGGCTGGCACCTGCTCAACAGTGGCTCTGAGAAAGGCAAGCACTCCAGAGCTAGGCTTGGTCAGCCTCAACCCACTGTGATCAAAAATGTCTGCTTGGATGGGAATCAAGGTTCAAGCAACAGACACATCCATTTCTTCAACCTTTGAAGTTTCTTGACCTCTCTGTGGCCTTCCCCATCGTACACTTACAGTTACAGGGACACCATACAGAAACATTCATCTGCTCATCTTCTTCCACCCAAAAAGACTACAATAGAGGCCATTTCCAGTAGTTTCACTGGAGTGTTTTGAGGAAGAGGGGAGGCAGAATATCCGTGTGTACCTTTCCATTCTATAGAATCCCTAAACATTACAGAGTGATCACTGGAGATTTATGGGATGGAAAATCAGTGGGAAAGAAAAGGTCAATCCAAACATTATCTGCCTATTGGAAGATCTTACCACTAAGGAAAAATGTAACTGTTTGCACCTTGTAGTAGTTTATAAAATTACTTGAATTATTAAAAAGGGAGATAAAGTTATTTTCCACCATTTTCTTAGAGTTATCATTTTCCATGGAAGTTCTTGAATATCAAATTATTATGAATGAGGTGGGTTTTTTTCCTAAAACTAATGAAATGAGAAAGATTTTGCAATAATTTTCCATTTAGGCTCATCCAATAAATCAAATCAAATGACTTCATTGCAATCATGAACCAATAGAGAGAAAGAATCAAAGAAGGAAAAAGTTTTCAAATATCCAGAACATCCAAATGTAAATAAAAGGAACGGTGTATAAAAATATGCTAAAAGGCTTCATTCTTATTAGTTAAAGCTAACCTAAAATATAGTGTTATATAGCGCCCCTGGCAAGATCATCTAATAAAACACACAGAAAAATCAGATTTTTTAAAAATACCATTTATTGAACTTGGAAATCACACTTCTGAAAGTGAACATCATGGTAGTTTAGCCATCAATCCAAATTGGAGAGGATAGGATTCTGTTCTGCATCCTCATTTTAGAGAGTCATTAATGTACCCATATAGAGAATATTTATAGTTCAGGGTTGAACAGTGGGGTCCTTGGTGCTCTCTGAGTTTTACTGTTTACTTGCAGACATTTCATTACCCAACTAGATAACATCATCAGTGCTACAAGGGAGTGGGGTTGGCTCTCTGTTTACATAAAAATGGCTTGCCCTGTCAGTGTTGTTTTCTTCTTGATACTTTCCTGATTAGGCTACTGTTTATAGTTTGTTTGTCTGAGTTGGTAGGTCCTTGGTTGGGGTAGTATTTACTGCTTGTTGGTCTGGTATTAATATTGGTATTAATCTCTGCTTATCTGGGGTTTGATTGCTGGCCAGGAGAAGTTTTGGTCTTTTGGTTTCCATTTTAGCTTTTAATTGCCTCTTTTGAATGGAGTGTGAATGTTGTTGTGAAGCTCTATTTCATTAAGTCATTAATTTGCTGGTCAAAGCTGTATAAGCACTATGTATAACATACTCACTTGATTTACATGTGGAGTTATCTGACAGTCCTTCCTCAGCTGCTCCAAGTGTTCAATTAAAAAGTTGCTTACTCCGATTGACTTGCATATACCTTAATGAAAACAGAAAAGGAACTACGCATATGTAACAATTTGTTGTGGCTTTCCAAAACAAAACAAAAAGACAGTGTGTTTAACCTTCTGATACACCCCAAGGCATGTTGTACTTAAAAGACAGATGTTCCAACTTGACCACTTTTCTTCAAATGTCCAAAGCCAACATTACATTTTAAAATTGGGAACTAAAATGCATAAGGCAATGGCGAATAGCAGGGATGATTTTAAATATTTGAAATCCAAATCTTTCCCCATAAATTGCAGACTCCACACATAATTGCTGAAAATACATATTGATCCTGCATTTAATTCTGTATATGGTCCATATAAGAATTTCAGAAGTAAAAGGTATTTTAGTTGTGCCTCATGGGGCCCCAAGCAAACCACCCTACTTCAGCTTCAGTCTTCTTTCCTACCCCTCTTTTGATTTATAAGGCAAGAAGGCTCAGCTTATTCATTTCAAGAATGGTGGATTCAGTATCAACCAAAAGACGTGAGGAAGAGTGATTACGTACACATCCATGTTTGTAGAACGTTCTGTTTGAAAACATTATGGGGAAGGGGCTGTTTGTTGAAAATCAAGCATGACAGCATTATCTAAGGATGCTGTCCAATCAAGACGCTTTTAGGAAGCTGTTTTATAATCTAAACACATTGGGGATTCCCTGGTGGATTCAAGTTTCCAGGCTAAATTCTGGGAAAAGCTGATGTAGTGTAAGCAAAGAACAATTGGACTTCACCAGGTTGAAAAGGAGGAAATAGTGTTCTGAGCAGTGTGCCAAAAACTAGAGAAAAGTGGAACACTGGTAGAATGGGTGTAAGGGGGGGAAAAACTTCAGGGACAAACAGTTCAAACAGATTTCCGACTCCTTGTAGGTTACTGCTGCAAAAAAGTTCTTATATAACCATGTAACTATGTTTAGGAAGTGAAGAATTAAGACCCTGGAGTGCACAGATTTTATACTCAGCTTTTGCATATCGGGTCCTGCCTGCCACTATAATATCCAAGTATCTGAGGTTATAATGCTTTCCAATATAAATACAAATTAAGTGTGCAGACACGCACATGTGTGAAAGGGAATGTATTAATCTGAATTACATTTAATAGTCCTAAAAACAAGCAAAAGGAAAAGAGTTAATAAATTTAAGAAGAATAGTTTCCCTATATATTGGATAGTGAAGAATACAGTTTGTAAGAGAGAAATATCTGGAGGTAAAAACAGGAACCAGAAGCATTTTTAAACTTTATGAATATTTTGATGTAATCAGCAGTCAGATATAATGGGGAGGGATCTAGAACTTAATATTTTGCAGTTTTTCATGTTCATTGTTATGTTTTTTCTTTCTATAAAGTCATGGGCGATAACTAATAGTGGTGACATTAAAATAAATATTAATGTTTAGTCTTTTGAAGTGAATTACAATTACTTCTTAAGAAAAAATAATAACCCTGGTTTTACAGATTCAATTATTTAATTCATGCAGCAACAGCTTTAAAATTTCATGACAAGTATAAATTTTGTTTACTTATTGATGTTTTATATTCCCATTCACTATGTCCTTTCTCAGTTGTTTCTTTCTTCTTTTATGTAGTCATTAATTTTATTCCTTAAAATTAAAAAAGTTATTAAAATAAAAAATACTCTGTGGAATAAAAAATACCTTCTCTTAAAAACCAATGGATAAAATCCAGAGTTTCCAACATCATGTTTCCAGAATTTCTACAATTCTCCAAGTATCCCAAAGTAACCCAGCCATGAAAGCTCTCAAGTTGAAGACTACTTTTTAAAGACAATCTCTTTTATTAACTCACTTTTATTTATTCAATTTAGGCGATGTCTGACTCCAGACTGACTCACAGTTCACAGCACCAATTTCTTTACTAGGAAGCTTCCACACAAAAGAGAATCCTGTTTCGGCTTAAAGTAATTATATGGTACAACAGGCAATCTGACATTTTCATACTCTGCAGCACTGCTGATTTAAATGTTATCCTCTGTGTACTACATAATGTACTTCATGCCCTGAACAATGGCAGCAATATAGTTATTCTCTTTTTTATGATATTAAGGAATAGAGATCAAGCTCAGGAATGGAAGAAAATTTGCTATATGGGTAACAAGAAATATAAATTATTTCTATTATAGACCTTTTAGCCACATTTGCAAAACATAAAAAGGAATTACTGAGAAGCAACAGAAGCATTTTAACTTCCTTTACATAGCGCAGGCTTTTGCTAATTGAGATTTATTTTTAAATATATGGTATGAGCACAGAATAGTATGGTAAAAGAGAAACTATTGGGACTTTATCCAACTAATAATGTTTAGAGGAGTTTTAGTGCTTCTACCAAATTATAATTGGTATAATGCTCGGCAAAAGAAATAAAGAAACTTAATATTTTATTTCAGAACGATCTTGAGACTATTCTGCTCAATCTAAAAAGTGTCTCACTGACATTTTTGGACACTATTCATGCTTTTATAAATAAAAATAGTGAGTTATTGGCCCTATCAGTGTTCATAATCCACATCCATGTGAGCTCAGAGAAAATACCTTATTTAATAGAAAACGTTTAAGTGTTATTAACAAAATAGTTTTGTTTGTTTTTTAAGTAATTTTGATACTGATAGAACAGCTTTTTAAGCTTATGAAACAAATATATGGTTTCCTCAAAAAGGTCAGCTAAAGCCAGAAAACTGCATTTAAATGTTATTAGTTTTATAATAATGGAAACAGTTTAATTCTGTGGACACAAACAAAACAAAACAATTCTATCACCGAAGATTTCTATATTGTGCATCTGTACATGGTAGGAGAGATTGCATGCTACATAATTAAGAAACTCTGGCCAAACCTGTATCCTTTACCTCTGAAAAATCTTGGCAAATGGGTTAAAAATATCTTATAACTGGAAGAGTCAAATGATGTCCCTTATTTTATAAATAGGATCCCAGAAATGTAGAGCACTTGATCTTTAATCAGGTTTGGGGTTTTTTTGGGGGGGGGGGAATTCTAGAGTAGATAACAAAATAACGGCTTTATTAGCATCTTGTGGTTAGCAAACATTGCAACGATAATTAGAGTCCATCATAGATTTGCCAAGAATTAGTTTTGTCAATCCTAATCTCAATTTCAATCTCTCGCTCCCTCCTCTAGGAAGCAAGCAATGGTAAACCATTTCCAAAATCTTGCCAAGAAAACTGCAAAGATTTCTCCAGGAATACTGACTTGTAGGTAGGTAGGTAGGTAGGTAGGTAGGTGATAGATAGATAGATAGATAGATAGATAGATAGATAGATAGATAGAT